GATCAACTTGCAATCAACATGCTTCTCACATGGGTGACTCTGCGTAGCTGGCTTTGATGGAATAGCAGCAAAGATTTACTTTTAAAAAATTCATGATTCTACCAAGCAACAGAAGGCCAGATGGTTTGAAATATAAACATTTCAAGCAGATCTTTACTAATCAATACATGGGGCTTTCTCTTTGTCATGAAGGGATGTATTTTATTTTAGAAGTCAGATTTTTAAACTGTTTTACACTCAGCATCATTTAGAGGAAGAACCAAGAACATCAGAAGTGATGAAGCTTCAGCTTCTTCACCTGTATAACAAAAAATGAGTAAAAAAAAAATGGGGGGAAAAATGGGCACTTAACAGTCACTAGTTCATGGCATGAGACAAGCTAAGCACATGTTTTGTTATTTTTGTGAAGTTTTATTTTTTACTTATTTATGCATGCAAGAACTGGGGTACAGGCCAGAGGTGCGGGGGGTGAGAGGAGTCACCAGAGACAGAGTGGGGAGCAGAACAGGCAGAGTGACTGAAATACAGCGCTGAGGGGAGCAGCGGGAGAGACAGGAGAGGTCTGCTGTGGGTCAGCTCCTTGGCTGGATATCAAACTCAGGCCGCAGTGGCTGGTGGTAGCTTAACAGCACTGAGACTTTAACCCCTGCGCCACCAGGGAGGCCCGCTAGCTAAACAATGTTGTCAGTTCCATGATTAGGACTCAATTCCACTAACTGGGAATTATTCCCGGCACATTCTTGGAAACATCTTGTTGTCACACTTTTTTCCATAAAATGTAGTCATTTGGACAAAGCACCTGCTTTTTTCAAACTGCATCCTGCTTCAAAACAATTCTGTAAAAACAAAACAAACAACAAACTGTGGCTTTCCTAAGTGTCCTATTGGAATTCCTGCCATTAAATAAAAGTCACAGCTACATTTCTTCAGGTAGATCTTTCTCTACATGGGTGTCCCTGAAAGGCTATTGTGTGAAAATTGTCCTAAGATTCTAGGAAGTAAAATTGTTTAATGGAGAGGACCTGTGAGGCAAACTCTATGGTCCCCAGAGGGACCTCCATCCTCTTGAGGCCCCACCTTAAATTTGAAATCTTCATAAAGGGTTTTACAGTCATACCTGTGGATTCATGCTTAGACTACATAGTCTTGAAAGTAGCCTGGAAGGCCTCCCTGGTGGCCTAGGAGTTAAGTCTCAGCACTATTGCCTCTGTGACTGGAGTTCGATCCCTAGCCAGGGAGCTATCTATCCACATGGCGCAGCAGACCTCTCCTGTCTCCCCGCTGCTGCCCTCAGCAGTGTGTTTCAGTAGATCTGCCTGTTCTGCTCCCCACTCTGCCTCTGGTGAATCCTCTCACCCCCCGCCCCACACCTCTGGCCTACACCCCAGCTCTTACATGCATCAATAAATACATCTTTAAAAAAAAGTAGCCTGGAGTGGACATCTTCCAAAAACCATTTTGTAATTTTATCATTTTCCAATTTGAGAAGTTGGGGATGAAAAACAACTTTCTACCCCAGAGAGTGTTGACTCCTTTCACTTACCTCCCTCTTTTGTTGGAATAAAAAGAAACCAGGTGTTACCTTTGAAACTGCCTGGAAATCCCACCCTGAATACCCCCCTGGAAATCCCACCCTGAACACCCAGTTCATTAGGTCCTGTTCTCTTTCCCACATGACCACAGCACGGCCTGCTAACTTGCCACCATTGCATCATAAAGGGCTCCTTTCTTCCAGCTTCCAGTGAGATGCCCCTCACTTCCCACGGCGATCAAGTTTCTGCTGACAATCTGAGGAGGGCCTTTCTGCTTTCACTACATGGTTAAGCTCAACTTCTTTCCACTGCTCAGTCCCAAAGCCACGTTTTAGCTTCGGTTATGGGGCACCCCACAAGTCATGCCAAATGTGTTCCAGGTCTTCTAACGTAGTGAAACTCAGCACCCCCAAACTTTGTGTCATTTTTAACATTGATTTTGCTTCTGAGATTTCTATATGGGCAAATCAGAGTGGAGAGTTCATCTTTGCTCCTTGCTGCATAAACAAGGGTGGTCTAAAGTTGGCAATGGCAGTATCTAGACTCATTCACCGTGATACTCGAGGCGGAGAAGACCCAGAGTAGAGGGTGGCCCCCTGGCACGGCTGGACATCGGATCTCCATGTACGTCACTTCCTCCCACAGCCACTTTAGCACAGCCAACTTCAGGGTACTGAGGTTTCTTTCATGCCAGCTCAGAGCCCTAAAGCATGTCCTGAGAGAAAGAGCAGCGATGTGTCCCTTTCCCTGGCCTGGCCCTGCAATCAGCGTGCTATCCCTTTACCAGCATCTAGTCCAACTCTCGTTCCTAGGAATCAGCGCTTAGCTTTTCATGGAGGGGCAGTAAGGAGTTGCAACAAGTTTCAAAGCTGGCACTCACTGGACCTCCCTGGTGGCGCAGGGGTTAAAGACAGAACTATCAAGCTATTGCCAGCCACTGCGGCCTGAGTTCCATCCCCAGCCAGGGAGCTGACCCCCATGGCGCAGCAGACCCCTCCTTTCTCGCCTGCTGCTCCCCTTAGCAGTGTATTTCAGTAGATCCTTCTGTTCTGCTCCCCACTCTGCCTTTGGTGAATCGTCTCACCCCCACATCTCTGGCCTATACCCCAGCTCTTGTATGCATAAATAAATAAATCTTTAAAAAAAAAAGAACTGGCACTCACTAAGCTATGGGGAGGCTGGCACATGTATCCCTAAGCCAAGCAGCCACTGCAAGGGAGAACTGAGGAGACGCCAACTGACAAAGGCAAAAGGAGAGAACAGAGAGACGGCTGGGGCTGGGCCAGCAGCCAGCTGGGGGCAGCTTTGTGGGGAAATGAGAATCTCTGTCAGGTGGTCGCAAACCAGAAGGGCATGAACATGGAAAGCCTTTCAGGCAAGAGAATACGAGCAGGCACTTGGGAAACGGAATAGTAGGGTGAGCATGTGCTGTCTACATTAAAAGTGTGTGTTTAGGGCCTCCCTGGTGGTGCAGTGGTTGAGCGCTGGGCTGTGAAGCTGCGCGCAGCCTCTGCAGCACAGGTTCAATCCCCAGCCACCAGCAAGGGTCCCACATGGCGTGCAGACCTCTCCTGCTGCCCGCTGCTCCCCTCAGCAGTGTATTTCGTCAGTCTGCCTGTTCTGTTCCCCGCTCTGGCTCTGGTGAATTCTCTCACCCTCCCAAGCTTCTGACTGTACCCAGTGCTTGTATAAATAAATAATTAAAAAAAAAAAAAAAGTGTGTTTAAATGGCCAAGACTTGGCACCACCTAGATGCCCTGACAGGTGACTGCATACAGAAACCGTGGAATATACACTCAATGGAATGCTACCAGCTATTAAAAAAGCTGGTGAGTATGTTTGCACAGGTTAAATTTCTGGAAAGATATTCTAGAAAACGGTAAAAATGATTGTGTCTGGGGAAGGAAAACAACTAGTTTGCTCTGAGGAGCAGTGGCTGAGAGAAAATATAATGTCTTGCCTCTTTCCCAGGCATCTTTTAAAAGTCTCCTTTGTGTATTCTTTTCCAAGCAAATTAAAAATGAAAATATATGCAAATGAAAGCCAGATGGTCCAGGTGTGAAGCGGCCTGCTTTCCACCTCAAAGCCGTTCTCTGAGTGAGCAGAGTCCACCCTGCTGCGCTGACCACGTCCGCTTTTGGACTGGAGTCACACTCGCCCGTGTACTTCTGGGGAGACTGGCATGGGCTCCCTGGCAGGAGGCAGTGCGGAACCAAGCCCCACTGTGCGATGGTCTCACCTGGGGAGACGAGGTGGGTAGATGGGCCTCCCTTACATCCCACAGCAGCTGCCCCTGAATCTAGAATTATATAGAAATTGAAGCTAAAACTACAGCAAGGTATCGCTGCAAAGGAGCCTCCCTGCCAGCTTTGGCGCTGCTGCGACCTTGCTGAATCACTTGCCTCTTTGCTTCTGTTCTCATGAGTGACTGGAGGTGAGGGGCAGCTGTCCTGGGTACAAGATGCCACAGGGCATCTGAATGGCGAGTATGGAAAAGGCTCTTCTGCCAAATTCTCTGGGCCTGAAATGAAAAGAGACAACAAAGCCAGGGAGGCTTAGCTGGCCTGTCTCTTGGCATCACCGGTTCAGGTTTCCACCCCTCCCGGGGGCAGGAGGCAGGCGCTGCTGGACACAGCCTAGGGCCTAGAAGGTGAGAGAAGGACCTCAACGGACGGTGCTGCTCGCATCCCACGCCTGGCTGTGGGGCCCATCCAGGGGGACCCCATCCCGGGAGGGACCCCTGGGAAAGTCGCTGGCCAGAGGCCTACCTGTGCAGGAGTCCTCCTCCTTCCCATGGTGCAACTTGAAACCAAGGGACGTCTAACAAAACCAACCTGCTCACAGGCTAAATGCATAAGCAAGAGTTAAGCGCCGATGGCACATTTCCAGTCACAGAAATGTCACCCAACTTATCAAAAAACATCGAAGACCCCGTATCGGGTACCAACACTTTGTATTCGTTCATCCGTCATTTCCAGGGGCTGGAGCAGAAGCTGCTGGCTCAGGAGATCCCCCCACCGCCCGGTCCCCCAACTCGATGTGGGGGCGGCAACAGGCATGTGCTCATGGTTCTCAGTACATGTCTCTGGAACGCAGAAAACCCATAGACAAGGGACTATGTGCTAGCTACACACACACACACACACACACACACACACACACACACCCACACCCATTTGGGCGTCCATGGTTTCTCCACATCCACGTTATAAGAAAGTGAGGCTGATGTTAATCATGAACTGGCGTGTCTTCAAGTTCGATCCCTGGCCGGTCAGGGAGCTACACACATGGCGAGCAGACCTCTCCTGTCTCGCCCGCTGCTCCCCTCAGCAGTGTATTTCAGTCAAGGTGCCTGTTCTGCTCCCCACTCTGTCTCTGGTGAATCCTCTCATGCCCCGCACCTCTGGCCTGTACCCCAGCTCTTGTATGCATAAATAAATCAATCTTAAAAAAGAAAAAAAAGAACTGGCGTGTCTTACTCCACGGTGAGCAGGGCTTTAGGGAGGTCCCAACTTAGCATTGAGGCACATTTTGGGGACAGGTAATAGGTGCCTGCTTGATATTAACACTCATTTTGTGTCCTTAGGGGGTCTGTGATTTCGACACCTTTTCTTTTACCTTCTGGGTGTTCTGGCGGTGATGCTGTGTCTAAAAGAGCAACGGAAACAAAAGCAGCCCCCCTCCCCAATGGCACTTAGCGTCGCCCCAGTAACGAGAATACGTGGCATGTTAGCTAATATCCTTTATTGTCAGGCTTTCTTTGAGCCAACAATGATTTCGCATGGCTGTCCACAGGGATAAGGCAAATTTCTTTATTCTTGGTGGGCAGACTTAGTTGGCCTAAGTCTTTACAACTTTTCCATATAAAAATAAAAATTTAAGACCAGATTCTTCTTCTTCCGGTCATAAAGGTTGATTTATCTACAGGTGCCTCCTTCAGACCACCGTATAAACTTGGGATAAAATGTGTGCATTTTATTAAAGCCTTCTCATTTACTATCAGGGCCCTTTAAAGATTCGCTCTCACGTATACCTTCTGGGAAAACAGTGTCCTCCAGCGTAGTTAAGTCACAATGTATCTGGAGTGACTCACGCTGACCTTCAAGGAAACATATTTTTAACTTAAATCTTTTAGAAACTAAAGACCCCAGAATGACTTCATATTGTTTAAAAATGGCACTGGGATCCTCTGCCTAAAAGTGGTTTATAAATACAGTTTTTCGCAGGCTGCATATCTGTCCAGAATAGAGCAGTCACAGAACGCAGACTTAGCTACATGTAAAACAAAACTGAGTCAAATGTGGTTTTTGAAATACAGCACAGACAGGAAAATCCAGGATTCTGGGGTTGTTAATAAAACCACCTTCTAAAGTCACCCCGAGGACTAGAACAACTCTGAACTATTAAAATATACAGACAGACTGTTTACACCATTGCACATCCTTTTCCCTTTGCTTTTAATGCTCATGAAACTATGATTAAAGGGACGAGTTTGCGAGCACTGGCATGCACAGGCAAGCTCAGAGGCTTAAAAGATGCAATGAAGAAAAGAAGTTAATACGCAGACGAGGAAGGCTGCCAGCAGCACTCCAACTAAAAGACTGTCCTGTCCACTCCCCACTCCCTCACCTTCCCGGGGGCTGGGAATCGGGCTGGGAGGCTAGTGCATAATCGATGTCATGGATGGATAACATGGATAATGTCCTGGGCTTTAAGTCTCCCCCCAACAGGGGCGCGGAAGCAGCTCCCTTCAGTAGCACAGTCAAGGTCGATTAGTGTTGGTTCCACAAGCTAAGGCACATCTTGGTGGCAATGTGGGTTGTGCTGACTCTTTTAAGGCATGTGTCACGTAAGAGTAATAAAGCTTTGGAAATCGGGCAGACTGTTCAGGCGACAGCTTAATATAGGATCACTGAAGTGGACGGCGCAGAAAGACCTCTGAGATACAGCCCACCCGGAGGGGCTTCCAGAACGCCAGGGCACCGCGGCTCAGGCGCTGTGCCCAGAGGACGTGGCGCAGACAGCACAGCCTCGCAGATGCACTGGCTGGCTGCATTCACCTGGAGCTGCCCTGGCTGCTGACGGAGCGCGACGTGCTGTAGCGCTTCTTCACGATCATGCTGATGTAGGCCTTCATGAGCTTGGCCACGTCCACCACCTGCAGGGAGCAGAGGGCACCGTCAGCAGTGCGCAGGCCACAGGCCTGCGAACCACCTGTGTCCCCTGTGAGCATGCACGCTGTGTGTTTCCTGCCTTTACCTCTCCTAGCCAGGGCGATGGGCAATCCTGATGTTTCCCAGCACACAGTGCACCCCCTGGCGGTTCTTTTATGCAAACCCCATCATTTTGCATGATGCGAAATGGTCAGATTTTGCACATTCAAAAGCCACTGAGGATGACCATGTCTGTGGGTCTCCCTAGGGCGGGGTTGCTATTCCCGCAAAAAATAATGGTAAATGGCGAGCTGGGATCATCTGGCTTAAGTCAGCTCCGCGTGATGCAACCAAGGAAACATTAGAGAGGCTCTAGGGGCCAGGGGAGCTGGTGCCCAGATGTCCGCCTGGCGGGACTCGGCGTCAGGCCAGCTACAGCCTGCCATTGCCACCCACTTCAGTCTATCGGTCTCACAACTGGCCTGGATCCCTGTCCAGGCCCGCGTTTCCCTGTTCCCTCTCCTTCCAGTCCCGCCCACTGTTTGTGAATCACTGTCACAAGGCACACAGGGTCAGAGAGCCGGAGCAGGGTCCTGGTGTGTGACTCACTGAGCCCACCTGACCCCTCAGGCTGGCCCCTGGGTCCCCCAAAGATAGCTCCACCCCCACCTCTTTCCATCTCCCTGCACACCTCCCAAGCACTCTAGTCTCCCGCCTGGACCACATCCTGGACTGATGGATACCTGCCAGCACGTTCTCTCTCTCACTTGACAGCAGCAGCCAAGCAGGCAGCAAGAAGATGCTTTGCCACCCACCTTTGCTTGCAAGTAGCTTTCTTTGCGGAGCCCTCAATAGGTTCCCCGCATCATCACCACATTTTAAGCTTTGGAGAAGACAGTGCACATATTTAGAGGCCATGTGTGTTGAGTGAGCCAGAATTAGCCACGCCCAGGAGGGTCATGCCCCTCGCTCCCCCGACACTGGGGAGGCTGCTGAGCCAGACTCCAGCTGTGATTCTCCACCGCAGTGACTACTAATGTGTGCAAGGCTTAAATGCCAAAATATGTATTTTTCTTGGGCATCTGCATCATTTCCGTTTCCCTTCCTTCCTCCACAGGGCAGGCTCCCACATATAAGGGAACCGTATTTCTCTGCAGAGATTACAGAAGACATTTGGGATTTCCAGATGTGGGCCTGTAAGGGATCTGCAGCTGGGGAGGGACCACTATACAGTATTTTCATGTCTCAAAGAGAAATATTCCAATGAAATGACTTGTTCAAAGGCTTCTGGAAGGAGGGTGCCGTTTTTCTATTATGTCAAGGTCATGAACAAATGGATTTCCTGGGTCTGACTCTTACCTCACTGGTTTCAAAGAGCAGCTCCCGCTCATCAACGACGATCTTGTATGTGTTGGCCAGGGGCGCCCCAAAAGACAGGATGTGTTCATACTGGAAGACCTCCAGCGGCCGGCCCTCCCCGCGCTTGTACACCGAGACAGCGTCGGCGCTGACGCCCAACCAGAGGTCCTGGGGGAAGCCACCTTCCCTGCACTGTGGAGCAAGAGTCAGAAGGAGTCAGAGCCGGGGCAGTGACACACATGAGCACGGAAATCCCAGCCAGGCCTGGGGGCTGGCACTCTGCAGACAGAGCGCGCACTCACACGTGTATACCCGAGAGCACTGCAGGCTCAGTCAGGCGTCTGTCTTGACTGTTTGTGACTGATGGATCAACCTCATGCATGGGAGAAACCTAGTGGGTAGAGGTGACCATCGCTGGCACTCCACCTCTGATGTCACTACTCGAGTTGTCATTTTGTTCATGACACAGTCGCTGGGGACCTTGACCGCGAGCCCCTACAAACCAAGTGGCCAAGCCTGGTCTCCCCTCTCTGTCCTTCTGCCTCCAGAGCTTTTCCTTCTTTTCCAAACGATTAATCTCCAAATACTAATCTAGGATCGCAGAGAAAAATGCCCCAAATCACAGTGCTGAGCAGCTGTGGCTCCTCTAGAAAGAGGCAGCAGTGACTTTCTGGATAACATGGACTCCGCCCGCCGGGTAGCAGAGCCCCGATGGCAGGATACCCCCAGGCGGATGGGGACGAGCACAGACAGGAGGGATCTGATCAGCCGCTCCAAGATGAGGAGGAAGGTTATAGACAAGTGCCCTTACTTATTAATAGATGAAACTGAGTCAACTGACCAAGCCAACCAACTGAAGTCAGCATCCAGGGAAAAGCCAGAGGACTGAGGTGGTGCAACCGGTGTCTAGACTTCGACACGTCCTCCTTTGAAAGGCACTGGGACTGTACGCTGGGTTGTTGCAACCACAGGAAGAACGCAAGGTCACCTAGACCAGGGGTGACCACAGCCCTCTACGGAGGCACCAAGAGAGGACACCTCTGAGGCTGGGCGCCACGCGGCCAGTCATCACTAATCAATGCTGCCATTTTACTGTGAAATCAACTGGAGAAAATATGCAAAGGAATGAGCACTGGAGTGTTCCAATAAAACTTCCTGTACAAAAAAGGGGGCCGGGGCACTTAGTCCCTGAGGCTATAGTGTCTGCTAAGCCTTGATGTAGAATGTATGGAGATTTCCTTTCAAGAAGAGATCTCCTTAAGTAAAAAAAAAACAACAGCGCTAGATTGATGTCAATGGCTCAAAGGTTAAATTCATTCGTGAAGCAGAACTTCAAACAGACGGTCGTGGGAAAAACCCAAAATGTCAAATGCGAGCTAGTCAAAGTTTCTAATTTTGTGTATGTAATTCTAACAAATTTTCAGATATTTTTACATGTGGATTTTTACCAGCCCCTTTTTAATTGGCTCTAGTGCGTCCTAAGAAAGAGCAGACATTAGAGGTATAGACCTCATTGGCTTGTCTCTCCTAATACTATGGGCGCATGAAATAGAAAGGATGATAGTCCGTGGGGTGGGTGGGTAGTGTGGTAACAGCAAAATCTGGGGGTGAACAAAAGCAGGACGAAGCACCAAGTGCTCCAGCCCATCCTCCCCAACTCGAACTTGGCCCAAGCTGCACTGACTTATGTCCTCAGACCCCATCCGGCCCAAGTGGCAGCCGCCCACCTGCCCAGAAGGCACAGCAGCCAGTTCTCACCTCCACATCGAAGAGCGTCGACCCATAGCCAGGCCACTCCTTGATCAAGGCCATGTACTTGGCCATGGCCTGCTCCTGGCTCATTCCCTGAAACTTCTTCCACTTGTCGATGATGCTGGCTCGGGCGGAGGAGACCTCCTCCTTGATCCACATGTCCACCATCTGCTCCTCCTCTGCCTTTTGCCGGATGACAGAGCCCGTCCGGAAGCTCCGCCGCAGCGTCCCCTCCAGGAAGCTGGTTCTTCTCTTCTCTAGCCGCTCACCCGGGGTGAAGCTCTTCGTGGCCTGGGTGATGCGGGCCTTGAGTCTCTGCAGAGAGTAAACCTCTTCCAGGGGCGGGATGGCGGAGTGCAACGAGTGATCCCCCAGCAGGTACTGGAGCCGCAGGGCAGCGAGGACCTGTAGGTTCTCTTCCGGGGCAGGGTAGTGGCCGTGGATAACAGCTTCATGAGCCTGGACGGGGCGGTCAACAGTTTAAGGTTTGGACATGCAGTCCTGCATGCATACCCCGCCCTCCCTCCCCTGGCTCACGCCCTCAAACATCACCTTCTCTAAAAACTGTATCTCATAAGCCCCCCTCTCTCCTCTGAATGCTGCTGACCACAAGTACCACCCAACACATCTGTTAGATGATTCCCATTGTTTCTCTCCCCTCAGCTAGACTGGTTCCTGGCATGGGAGTTCAAAAAACATGGGTTCTTTGTTCTACAAAGACAGCAGTGGCTCTGTCCACGCAGGATCTGGAGTCACGCATAACTGCCAAGGAATTGCAGTGAACTTTTGAGGGCTGTTCATGGTTTCACCCCTGCCTGCCAACAAAAGTCTATTTATGAAATTTCCTCTTACCTGTTCAAACATAAATGCAAATTCCACACTGTCTTTAGGCACATTGTCTGTGTCCAGGAAGCAGTAAAGTTTGAAGTAGAATTTCCAGGGCATGTCACCCCCCTCTGATGTGGCAGCGAGTCTAGGGACAGAAGTCAGGAGACTCAGACACATGGCAAGAGATGGGCCTGCGGGACCCCAGGGTGGGGACTTTCTGTGGCTTATTGTAAGGATACAGACATTCTGTCCATGCTCAGAAAACGGGGTGGGTAAGATGCGGGATGGAGGGAGAGAAGGGGAGCAATAGTGAGGCTTATCAGAGCTCCTCAATCATTTTAATTAACCAGAGGTGACAAACAGGTTTTCATTCTGGGCTCCCTTCAATTACACTGTGCCAATTAAGCAAGCATTTCCCCAGTGTCCTGGTGAATACGCACCAGCTATGCACAAACAAGGGCTATGTCTCCAATCCCTTTCCCAATCCTCAGGAAAACTAATAATATGTGTTTAAAAACTGACGTGGCTATTATGGAGACTATATTCACACTGAGCAGGGGATAGGAGGGCCAGAGATCAAATACTGTAGGTCTAAGAGTTAGAAAATGCAGTATGACGTTTGTAAGTTGGTTTATGTGTGCACCAGCCCAGTTTTGAAGCTAATGACTAAGGGGCAACCCTAGAACCAGGCTATTCCAAGACAATGAAGACAAGAGGGGTGGAGAAGAAGGATGGAGAGAGGAGCCGACTCATACTGGAGCAGTGGCTCTATCTGGGAATCAAGAAAAACAGGATGTGGAGGAGATTAAAGGTTCAATGTTTTAACACAGGTAAAATAAAATGAGCTCTAGGACACCTGAGGCTGAGAACGGATACAAGTTCAAGCCTTCAACTCTGACTGTCAATTTCTTTTATCTCTTCTGCTGGTGCTCCCGGGAGAAGGGACTTACTTTTCAAACTTGGCTAGCACATCAGCGACAATGGTCCGGCTCTCAATGGCCTTGTCCACTTGTCCGTTGTGCTCAAACAAGGCGAACATGTTCCTGCTGTCCTCCATGGCCAGGCCCCGGATCAGCTTCTCTACCACCTGCAAGGTATCGTGAGGCTTCAGCTCCCAAAGTCGTGCTCCCCACATGTGGTTCTAGAACTGCTTTTTACCTTAGTTCTAGCAACTGATTTCACCCGCTGGCCAAAATTCGGTTCCAAGCAGCCTCTCCAAAACTCTGGTGTCAACACCCAGTATTTGCAAAGTGCTATTTTCCGCTCCCTCTCTTGAAAACACTTTTATCTCTTTTTTGCTGAAAAGAACACAGGCTGGACCCAGATGCTGGTCCAATTTCTTGACAACCCATGGTATTAAGAATGCGCAGTCTGAGACCAGCAGCCTGGGGCTGGGGTTCCAACTGATAAACCATGAAACCAGAGTGTCTTCTTGGAGGTTTCTTCTACACAAGCTTTTCTGGGTCTCACTGCACACCTCCTTCCAGGCAACTGGCTTAGAATATTAAATTTAAATTTAAAAAAGATGAAAAGGTGTGTGCTCTACATTCTGTACCTTCGTGTGGCAAACAAACACCTTATTGCAGAAGAGCTACCAGTGCCTTTGTCCCAGCTGGCCAAGGAAACAGGCAGGTCTGGACTATCTACTCAGATGAGTTGGAGAATGTCTCGTCTACTCACATGCCCTTAGAGTCGTGTTTTCATTTGTTTTAAACACACTTTGCTATGGCAAGTGCGCTTCTTTCTTGCTAAGCGAGCAAGGAAGGATGCTCTATGCAAATCCCAACTGGGCAGGGAAGCTGACCCGGCACACCCCTCGTCTACCCCCGCCCCACCTCTTGCCCAGGCTCGCTGGCCGCCAGTATTCGATCAGCGGCGATGCAGCGGCTGCGCCCTCACCTCCCCGGCCGTGGTGTGGGAGTTGATGGTGATTTTGCAGGAGCCTCCGCCGTGGCAATGCACCGTGGATGTCATTTCCTGCCTGTGGATCAAGGCTTCTATTTCATCTCGGGAAGGCACAAACTCTCGGCATTTGGTTTTCTTAAGAGATTCGTAGATGAAGAGGGCGTATTTTTCCATCTCGGTTCCTGGAAACTGTTCCCGTATCCTAGGAGACAAACAGAGACCTATTCATTGCTGGACTGAGGCTGGCTAGCTGCTGGGGGGCAGGCTGCTTCAACCCACGCGGTGAGTGGCTTCCAGCGGGGACGGGAGCAAACCCCAGCCCTCTGCGGGGGCTGGAGGCCCAGGTCCTGCTCATTCCATACACGGTTAATTTCAATACAAAATTATTTGAGACACCGCCTGCCCGGGGCAGCTTCGCCACCAGCTGGGCTCTGCTCTGCTGCTATCCTTAGGAGTCCTGCCTCACGCAGACATAGGAAAATTGTGTTTAGTTCATCAGAATTGGAATCAAGCCTTTTCTGGCTGTTCGTGCTAGAACAAATGTTCACATTTTGCGCTTTGACTTATACAGGGCAATAGTAATCACATACATCCAGGGCCTTATCTAGGAGGCCGATCCCCCCAAAGTAACATAGTCTCTAAAACAGCTCAAGTGGCTTGGAAGGGAAAACCAAGGTACCCTGCATTCTGTGCCCCCCCCCAGGGGACGTCAGACGCGTACGTCCCTAGACCACGCCAGGCTGGTCTGAGGCTGGCTGGCTGGCTGCTGGGGGGCAGGCTGCTTCCCTGCAAGGTTTCTCTTTAACTGCACCACACTTCCAGGCACCGCATGTGGGGACCGCCCTGCCCAGGCCATCTCTACCTCTTCAGGTGGAACTTGAGGTACTTGAGGATGCCCCGGCTGGGCAGGAAGGTGCAGCTCAGACAGGTGAGGATCTGCCAGCTGTACAGGTTTCCCGCGCTGCCCGGATGGGGCACTTTGTTGGTCTGTTTGATGAGCTGGCAGTACAGCTCATCTCGCAGAGGTCGGAGGTCATGCCCCGTCTGGAGGATGCCCTGGATGATGGGCACAGGGTCCGACGTGGACTCCAGCTGCTGGAGGGAGTTGAAGATCTTGATGGCTTCATCCTGAAGGGTTGTGTAGCCCTTGTCTTTGAGCACTAAGGAGAGCAAAGCAGACATGGACGTCACAAGGGGTGCAGAGAAAGGACAGTCTGAACCGCAGATCAGAGGAGGAAAAGGTGGCCTCAGGGAATGGGAATCCTTCACAGCACAGCACCCGCAGGCTCCCCTGCGTCTGAGTCAGCTGAACGGAGCTGTCAAAACAGGCAGGTGGGCGAGCTCCACTGTGTTGTCACAGAACCGAACTGTTTTATGGCACAAGACGCTTAAAAGCTTGTCTGTGGTCAAACAGGTTTTGTATTTGGAAAGTGAGACTGTGTGGGAGGCATCTCTGGTGCAGTCGGGCTACTTGAAGCTCACAGGGAGCGCTGCCCTGCTCTGACTCTGAACAACAGCTTTTTGGAACAACAAAAAGCACAACAATCTTCCCATCGCTATAACCAGAACTGAAATCCCTGCCTTAGTAGAAAATCTACTTTTGTCCCCTATTCCTGACACCAAGTGTCTTGGAGTCAAAACATGTGAACGTAACAGAACGTAACGGAGCCGAGCTGAGGCGCTAACGGGGAACAGCCGCGGCGGGACGGGACGTACAGTTGAGGTTGATGTCTCCGTAGGGCAGGGGCAGCAGCGGGGAATGCAGCGGGTGGTGGGTGTGGCGGAGGATGGGGTTCCGCTTGTAAATCTGCTCCACCACATCCAAGTTCAGGCAGTTCTCCTGGAAAAGGAAGGAGCCATCAGAGAAAGAAAAGCGAGCTCAGGGTGCAGAGCGAGGGGAGACAACATCAGCGCCAAGCATGGGGTGGGCTTGATTTCAAGCACAAAGACACCCACGAGCTACAGGCAGGGACAAATCACAAATACGACTTTTCTTACATCGCTCATTCTCGTCCCTGTAAGTGCATCCATTGCCCGATATGATTCAACGGTTGCCCCCCGGAGTTTCTAGACATTTCAGACTATTTGTTTAAACTACTCTTGCTAATGACTTAGCCATCCATCATTTAGCCACATTGGGCTGTCTTTTTAATTTATTGGAAAAGGACATTTTGCTAGTTTGGTCTTCTGCATTCAACATGTTATTAGTGACTGTTCGTCCACCTGCCAGCCTCCCCCGTAGCCCCTAAATTCCTCTCACAGAATTTCACCTTGTGTTTATGCTCCTAAAATGTTAAACGGGGATATGAAAAAGCCAGGTGACTCTTAGAACATTAGATAAACAGAAAAGTTGGGGGGAGGCGACGAATCATACGGTCCTGGGAACTTTACTTCCATTAAGAAGCTTTCCCAGTGGCACCCTGTTGGAAGCCAGAGGAAAAAAACGAGTTATTTCAAAAACTTTGTGTGGACTTAATGAGGGCAACTTGTCCGATTCATGAAGCATTTTTTTATCTTTGGAGAATTCTACTTATTCTTTTGATGTCTGATTTCATTTAATTGATTCTAAGACTAGAAATAGCTTTCAAGAGAGTTCCACTGAAATATGCTTTTGCCATTCTTGTCTCGAAAGAAAGCATCAGAAAACCCAGCTTTTGTAGATCAGAAATGCAATTGTGAGTGGCCTGCACCTGAGTTCCACAGAAGCTTTGCAGTCTTGCAGAATAATGGGCTCACTGGAATTTAGCACCAAGTACCCAGAAAACAATTCCTTGGGAATCCAGAGGCCACTTGCACTGGGTGGCAAATGAGAAGCTTCTGTGCTAGACCTGCCCCCGCCCTGGTGCCCTGGGAGTTCACTCCTGGATCTGACTAGATAGCGCCTTTCTGCAGGTGCCATTCACGAACACCTGCCTCACTGTCACTCTGCCATATTTCCTGTCTCAGAGTCAGCTCTTCCCTTTGTATGGGGAATCTTCCAACACGGTTAACTTGGAACAGTTGTAAAAACAAACCCCTGACTGGCGTCTGCATGGGGAACTGACTGGTGGTGGGAGCAAATCACCAGAATATTCCATGTCTTTTTCCATTCCTGGAAAACGCAAGCAGTAACCCTCGCTCACAGCCGCCCTGCATCACCCCCTCGCTGCGCTTACACCACTGAGCAATAATCATCAGGAACAGGGAGTTACAACTTAACAGTCAGTGTTAGTCTCCGAGGCCCGTGACAAGCTATCCATGTTTAACAGACTAGGCTGGGCTCTCTGAGATCTCCTTGTGTGGTCTAGAAAGTCAGCTCCCACCACATCCCTGTGATGGGGGGCCCTATCTTCAAACCCCACACCATCACCTGCTCTGCCTGTAAACTCAACAGTCGGCCTTGCTCAGCAGAAACATCTGACCCTTTCCTCGAGGATGACATGGGCATTTTTAGTGTAAATTTTCACCTAAAATCTCTCATTTAGATTCCTAAATAAACGCAAAATTAATCAAGAGTTGGTTCTGATGACGATAAAAATTGAGCTTGAGTAATGTTGGCATCTATTTGCTCCAAGGGTGAGAGTCTGAGCGAATGAACCTCATGGGGGGCTGAGCTCCCGCTCACCTTGATGTCTTGAATCAGCTGCTGAGTGGGGGTGTCAATCGGGGCTTTGGTGTCCGTCACGTTTTGAATGGCGCTGGACCACCTGGTGGCCTCATTGAGCAGCTTGGTGTAGAGCCGGTAGCAGTGCTTGCGTCCATACACGGTGACGTTCCAGTAGCCTGCAACACCCCAGCACACACACATGCAAGCTTGTTAACGCCACTGCCAAGCTACTGCTCTTGCACCAGAGCCCAGAAATCCAGGGCCATTAGAAGCCTAAGCTTCTCCACCTGAGCTCCTTTAATTAGTTATGTAATTCAAGTATTGTTCAATTTCTCCATGTGTGCCCTGCACTAGGTATCTCTGCACCAAAAGACATGAGCAGTTTACAGAGGCGGGAGGACAAACATAAACCACGACTAAATAAATAAGCAGCATTTGCTCTGAAAGGGAGAATATAAGCCAAGGTCCCTTTCAAGACTGTAACAAGAGGGAAAACTGTCCTCAGACCTGGCTGGCCTCTTCCCTGTTTCTTCTCCTCGCCTTAGATTCTCCCTTGAAACATGTGTGCCAAGCAAGCAGGTGTTTGTACACCGCTGTCATTTGCATGGAATGATTATATTAAAAAACATATGAGCATTTCTTTTTCACAGAGTAATTATGTTTAAAGAAAAGCTCAAAATCACAATGAGCCACGAAACCCCAAATCAGCTCTCCAGAAACATTTCTAGAAGACCAAAAGGGTCTAGCTTCTGTGGCTGCTTGTAACCTGTGGGGCCTCGTTCACTGTCCATCAGGAGGTATCCTGTTTCAGCAGCTACTGACTCTCATGGATCGGTGGGGAAAAGTCGAGAACACAAGCACACGAAAAACAAAGATTCCTGGAGGAGAGTCTGTGCTCCCCGTAATTGTCTTTAGAAGAATCTTTCTGCAAGTCCATCAATCAAGATCATCTAAAGACTGAGAGTTCAAGCGGCGAACCCCAAGCAGGCTTGGAGGTAAACCAAGAAGCTAAGGGCCTGGGAGAGAGCAAGGCCTCCAGCAGGAACCTCACTTGTGGCTCTGAGCAAACCCTGGCCTCTCCTAGGGTGACCCGATGCCCGTGCCTGCGCCCCAGCTGGCCTGCCCTGGTTACCTGTCTCTTTGAATATTTTCTCATCGGGAGGGACGACTGAGCAGAGGCTGTTTAGGACCAGGGTCCCCAATTTCAGAGCGTTCTTCTCTGAGCTCTTATAGTAATCCAAGGAATTGTGGGTGAGCACAAACCACCGCTTCTTCAGCTTCAGCGATGACATTTTCGGGCTGTTTTTCACCTCTTTGTGCAACCACCCTGCAGAGCAAACACACAGCGTAAATGGGAAGCGGCGAGGCCCACCCCAGACACCCCACTGGCACAGTGCTTTCAAACGGGTCAGACGTCTACCAGTTGCCAGACATGGCCACGATCAGCTCTTCTGTAACAACCTTGAATCAAAATTACTCGAAAAGCCACTCAACAGGGCGACGCGCCAGGGGTCCCTGGACATGAAGGGGGCCTGGGGGCATCACCTCGCACGATGAACTCCTGGCCCTCCACACGGGTGTCGCCTTTGGACCGCTGCAGCAGTGTGATCCAGTGGTGCATCTCCTCGGGCGTATCGGCGTTGCAGTGCAGCACGCGGTTCGCGGTGATGATCACAAACGAGTTGGGTCTGGACAGCAGGGCGAGAAGGAAGGAGGCCAAGGCCCCGAGTCCCCGGTCAGCATCACCCATCTCAACCCAGACTAGCTGCCCTTTTCCTGGCCGATGGCTCCCAGGCTAACAATGGCAGGGCTATTTATTTCACCAGGCAAACCTTGCTCATTCCTGCAGGATTTACTTTATGCATCACTAACCTTCAAAGTGGGAGTAACACATTCTGAAGGTCCTGGAAGGGAAAGTACTTCTTCAGGCAAAATTTTCCAGATGGAAACTCAGTTCCAGGAAGGCTACATAGGGTGACTGCAGGGGAGTTGTTTTTTTTTTTTGTGGGGGCGGGGGCGGATGTCTCTCCAGAGTAAATTTCTTTCTGCCTCTGGCTGTTGCCTTGGATAATATTTCAGTGGGTGGGTAGTGAAGTGTGAGGCATTGGTCACGGAAGGTGAGTCGACGGGTGTATGTGGAACATCGTATACACTTCAGAAGCCTGGTATTGAGGGTATTGGCATTGATAATAATGGAAATTTACTTTTGCTCACACCTCTTTCTTGCCCTGCGTCCCTCACAGGCCTCACTCACACTAATTCCTCTAATGCTTACGTGTGTGACGAGAAACACATGCTTGCCAGCTTTTGAATGTGCACTTTTGTTTGGTGCTACAAAGGTTCAAGGAAAAGATGAACAGGACTGGAGCAGATAGGGCGAGAGAGGTGCCCGTCAAAATCAGGACCAAGTTTTTCTACAGGTGGCAAGAGAGAAAGCTGAGCGAGGGAGGAAAGCCTGGACAGAGGTAGGAAGTTGTGAGCAGGACCGGCATGACCCAGCCTGCTGGAGGGAGGGGTCTTAGGAGGAGAAAAACGTTAGGCATGGCAGGAACCGGGCAGAAGAACAAGGAGGATCGGGCTTTGAGTCCTGACAAGCGTTAAAGATTCCCAAGAATCACTGTGGGGAGGTGTGGGTGATGCTAACAGCCAGCAGCCAGGCTTCAGAAGAGACTCTGACCCCGGTGGGGCGATGCGGACCCCAGGACCGAATGCTGTGCCCTAGATGCTATTTTTGTTGTCAACTTGAATACATTTCCAGGCATTTCTAGAGCTATGTTACTTATGAAGGCAGAAGCCAACCCTGATTCTTATTTTGATCCTCCAGCAACTTCTCTTAAATTCCACTGCAGGTCAAAACCAGAAATCATAAACAGCAAAGAAAACTAGACAAAGGTCACTGGCGGCAAAGACATGGGACAGCCTCTCCGAAGATGATTTTCCTTCAAAAAGTAACCCCCCACACATGCTATTTAAGGGTAGAGAAAGGTACAAAGGTCAAGGGAAATAAATTGCTTGTGGCTTGATTTATGAATCGTCTCTGTAAACACTGTCATGAAAACCATTTTCAAATTTCATCATTAAGGTCAGAAAGGGGAAGTACACCACCCCGTGCTGGGGTTCCAGTTCCTTCCTATACCAACCCTGAGTCTGTCATCTCCAAATGGAGTACAGGCAACGCCCGCGTGATGTCAATGATCGTCTATAGGTTTCCACTGTCAACCCCAGAACTACAGACTTCGGGTGATGCAAACCTGGGCAGCCAGGAGGCAGACTCTGGATGGCTGGGGCTGACATGGGGGTTGGGGGGCACTGACGAGGGGGAAGACAGAGTCTCGACTCAGCTCACAGCCCAGTGAAGAGGAACGTGGTCAGAGAACAGGGGTCTGGGCAGGCAGGCGGGGAATCCACCACTTCTGCTAAGCTCACACCTGAGCTTACCTGTCGGGGCTGTCAGAGGCGCACACGGAATCAATCAGCCCCACATCCAAGGTACCCTGGAAAGGAGAATGAAATGAGACTTACAGCCATTCAAATAGGGTGTGAGTTGCATCGTTTCCCCAGGTCACAGCTCTCAAATTAACAAGGGGGACTCCTTTTTGTGTGAACTGCAGGAAAATGGTTACCTAAGAACGGCCCTTCATCATCTGAGTACAGAGAGCCCCCAGACGGGGCAGAATCTATAGGTCATTCATTAAAAAAATTATAAATCAACCTTCTGGTCATGTATCTTTAGTGAAGAGTGTTTATAAACTTCTTTCAGCAGTATGAACTAATCTACACCATGATTTGTCATTAGGCTTTACATTTATTTGCCAAGAAACTTTGAAGTTTTTCTACAGTATGATTTTACGACTGTAATAGGCAGAGTTTACAAATGAGAATTCACCAGGTCCTTTGAAGACAAGTGTGATGCGTTTCCCTGATTTCATAAAAACTGGGATTTTGTGGGGGAGCGGGGATGGGTGGGTTCTTTTAGGGGTTTGAGGCAGAGAATTGGAAAGTACTTCTATTTATAATCTAGAATTTATTCCACTTTTTTCTGCATGATGTTTAACCAAAACGGTCCTGTTTTTCTCTTTAATTACTCTTTTCCTTAAAAGGCCAGAAATTCCCAGGACGTCCCCCAGGCCCCACCGAGGCTCACTCACCACGGCGTTCTGCGGGTTTGCCTGCTCGTCGTGCATCTCCCGGATCTCCTGGTCCGTGGACGCGTGGACCTGGCTGAGCACGCTGAACCACTGGCTGTGGGAGGAGGAGACGGTCAGCAGTGGCTGGGCGCTGGGTCTGCACGGCAGCGGCGCCTGCCCCACAGTCTCTATGAAAATGATGTCTGCAACTTGCTTTGACTTGCCTACTTCTCATAGTGAATGAGTTTCATAGCACCAGGGAAAAGTTAGAAAAAAGAGCCAAAGTATGTTTTAAATATCCTCCAGCAATTGAGGTCACTGGCAGGTCCTTTCCTCTGGGTCCCGCAGACCTTTACAGACATGTGATGACGATGATGGCACAACGGGTTGAGTCTCAGCACTATGAAGCTATCGGCAGCCACTGCAGCATGAGTTCAATCCCAGGCCAGGGAGCTGACCCACATGGCACAGCAGACCTCTCCTGTCTCCCCGCTGCTCCCCTCAGCAGTGTTTTTCAGTCAATCTGCCTCTTCTGCTTCCTACTCTGTCTCTGGTGAACCCTCTTATCCCCTGTACCTCTGTCCTGTACCCCAGTTCTTGGATGCATAAGTAAATAAATCTTAAAAAAAAAAAGTTCCTTGGAATTGGCAGCAGATAATGAAATCCTTATTCCTACCCAAGTTACTTATATCAAGAACTTTATTAAAGGTATTAACTAATTTATAACTTGAGCACATTAAGGTGCCCTTTCCTTTTTTGAAAAATAAATTTCCAGGTAAGAAAGCCAATAATGTGAGAGTTTAATCTCAGAATGAACTGATGTCTATTTTCCTACTCCTTCCCAGGATGGGGGTTCCAGCTACCGATAGGAATCTACTTTTAAAAAAAAAATAGGGGGCCTCCCCGGTGGCACAGCGGTTGAGCGCTGGGTTGCGAAGCTGCCCGCAGCCTCTGCAGCACCGGTTCGATCCCCGGCTGCTCCCCGGCCATGGGAGGAGGGTCCCACATGGCGCGCAGACCTCTCCTGCCGCCCGCTGCTCCCCTCAGCAGTGTCCTTCGGTCCTTCTGCCTGCTCTGCTCCCTGCTCTGGCTCTGGTGAATTCTCTCACCCTCCCGCGCTTCTGACTGTACCCAGTGCATGTATAAATATATAAATAAATGAATGAATAAATAAATAAATAAAGCACAAATGTTTATTTAAAAAAAAAATCTATGAACAAAATGATAGAAGTGGAAAACAATTGCTTGAAGTAGAAGTTTATTTTGGCCAGAAAACTCTTCTATCTTCATTTCAAATGAGTTTTCTCACTTCCAGCCTCTAGTCTGCTTGACTAAAAGAGTCAAGCAGAACAAAAGTCATGATGTGGCTATAAATGCACTATAATCTTAAGGGAAATAATCGTGAATATAACCACCCAGTCATCCAACAGGTCTTAAGCGAGGACAAAATGGTGCTAAGCCATCCTTCTCCTGTAGGGGGTGCACGTGACACGCGCACGCACACTTCCACTAAGTTAAGGCCAAGGAGAAAGTACTTGGTACAAAGTGATATTTAAGTAAAAGTAACACCTTTATATATGATAATTCACGTAAGTCCTTTGGTGCTTTACAAAGCACCAAATCTTTCCTGTGATCTCTCAAGGACAAAAATTAAGAGCTTGAAAAATCTCACTGTGCAAGCAAACCAAGGTAGGCCAAGGGAAACATCCTAAGTTTGTCATAGGTTCTGGTTAACCCCAAGGCAAGACTTCAGTAACAGCTTTATGAAGCTCAAAAGTACCACAAACCACACACCAAAGAACACGTATGTTCAAGATGTGGGCTACATGGGGTCACACACACAAAGGAAAAGAAATGGGGGGGTGGTTGGTGGCTTTCCATCTGTACAAGTGAGATTCTGAAACTGACAAACTGCTTCTCCAGAATCAAGGACAACATGAAATTTGAAAAGTCAACTTTAAAATGTGTCCCACTGGTCAGGACGGTAAGCACTTGGCCAAAATACACCAACTGTTCAATGTAGCAGGTTCATTATGGTGCAAAGCAGACAGGACAGCTGCCAAATGCCACACCTGAGCTTGGCTGCAAAGCTGTGGGCATTTTCTGGGCCGTACAAACCCACATGGGGTCTCTGTGGGTCCCGGGTGGAATGATGGGGTTAGGATTCCCCAGGTCTGCTGCTTTATCCAGTTTGCCTCCTAATTTGTGGATCCAGGCGGGTTTGAGTTCGTTCCCATGGGAAGTTATTTTCCCTTAATCTTGCTCCCAACTCAAAAACATTCCAAGGGCAAAGAGTAGTGAGGTCTTGAGAACTCACTAGAAGAAGCAACAGTTTCTGAGCTGACAAGTGAGGACTACAGGGCCAAGGATGACACCCTCATAAATTAGAAGACGCTCCCTGGTGGGGCTCAGCGCGATGAGTCACCACCGACGTCGCCCTATCGGTTGCCAAGGCAGCGGGAACAGACAGGCAGGCTCCAGCGCGTGCTTCAAAAATGCATGCTGTGGGGTCAACACCTGTGCTCCCCATATCTGCCCAGCACTTCAACATGAGGTCCAGAAAAGTTAAGACAACCTGCCCAACCAGTGCTGCCACCCTTGTTTTCCAAGCTGAAAATGTAAGCTCCTCAGATAACGTAAGCAGCTTAATGATGCTACCAACAGAATTAAGGCTGCATTTCTCTGTATTCACCACGCTGCCCTTTCTCAGCACCCTGCCTCCCACTCTGCAAATCGTTATCATAACACTGCTGCTCTACCTGGGTAGAATTAAAGGAATGACAGAGGAATTAAATGAGATAACAGGTATGAAGCACGTTACAATATTGCCTGGAATATACAGTGAATAATGGGGTTCAGGGCATCCCCCAAAATGAAGTAAAAAATATGCCAATAACTTCTGAACCCCTTCAAATACTCACAGCCCACTGTACCAGTGCCATAAGACTGAATCATCCACTTATAAGAAAACCCACATGTGCGGAGCAGCTCTGTTCACGTGTTATTCAAGGGCGAATAGTCTACGTTCTCTGAGTACAGGCTGTCCTGTCCTGTCCTGTCCTATCGAATTCTTCGGTATCTAGACCTCTAAAATCCTCCAAATGCTGTAGCACTATCAATTACTTAAACAGCTACTGGTTAAAGTGCCTGCCTTCGGTTTTTCTAGTGGTGCAGGGGTTAAAATCTCAGCACTATGAAGCTATTTGCAGCCACTGCAGCATGAGTTCGATCCCCGGCCAGGGAGCTACCCACATGGCACAGCAGACCTCTCCTGCCTCACCCGCTGCTCCCCTCAGCAGTGGATTTCAGTAGACTCACCTGTTCTGCTCCCCATTCTGTAACTGAGGAGTCTTCTCACCCCCTGCATCTCTAGCCTATACTCCAGTTCTTGTATGCATAAATTAAAAAAAAAAATCTTAAAAATTAAAGTGCCTGCCTTTTTAACCCTCAAGCAAATGTGAACGGTTCTATTTCAAAGGCCAGAAGTTTCAAGAGGATGGGGCCAGCAGCCATGCCTGGCATGGGTTATATATGCTGCTGGGGACAACAGAAGCCTGAAGCATGATGAGAGGGTTGCCCAGGGGCACAGAAAGCTGGCAGCCCCGAGGTGCACTCTGTGCTTGGACACATGGGCCCAGCAGGTCCTCAGGGAAAAGCCCATGAGGCTCTTAGGACGCTCAGTTCCTCAACCAGCCTCAGAGAAAAGCCCAAGTAGAAAACCCATTACATCTTTTCAGAGCCAGTGTAGAGCCTGACCCCAGGGCTGTCCCCCAAAGGGGCAGCCCGAGCTCACCTGGCATCTTCTGGGGACTCGGCGATGAGGTGGAAGGTCCTGTCGGCCATGATGATGTCAATCCCGTTCTCTTTGCTGGTGTTATCTACGATCTCCCTGCAAAGGAACAAGAGAACCAAATGCAATCCAGGAGCAGATTTCTTAGCAATAAATATGAAGAGCAATTTACAAAATTCACAAAACTAGCAGTTAAGCTGGAACCTGTAGCTGAGGACTCGGCTGCCTACTTCAGCCTTGGGGGTTGTGCTTTTGCTTTTACAGAAGATGAAGATGCTTGTGGCCTCCAGAGGGAGCCAGGCCCCACTGTGCTCCCAGGAGGAGTCGGGAGCTGGGCCCTAGGCCAGGAAGGTGTTTTCCCAACTTGTCTGGGAAAGGGGCCTCTCTGACCTCTCATGAGGGACCAGACCTTCCCAGGCCCTGGAAGGGTTGGGGCAGAGGCCCTGCTCTACTATGGCCCCTTTCCACTGTCCACCTGGCGGGGCTCCACTGGGGCTGGTTGGGAGCGCACGCCACCCCAAGGCCATCACCGCTTCTCACTGGGGTCTAAGGTTCTGGCTGACACTGCTGGCTGGCTTGTCCTGACACGGACAGTATTTCCACTTGGGGCTTGTGGTGCAAGGCAGGATTTCAACAACATCTAGATCTCACGCCAGCGCTTGAGATTTAAAATTGGTGGGCTGAGTGAAAATCAGGGTGGAACCAGGCAGATGTTGGGATGGGACGAGAGGTGGTCCACTGATGGAGGAGGGCCCTGGGGAGGAGGCCAGCTTGTTTTGACAGCTGAACCAGGGGAATGCCTGTAGAACATGGAAACCGAACAGCTGACGTGTAAGCGGAACAGCAACTGGGTAGAAAAGAGAGACTGTATGACCTCGGGCTAGAATCTACGAGACGAGATAAAATATTAAAAAAAGGAAATCAAGTTTAGAATTCAGTGGTCTGGGGTGCCTCCCCAGTGGGAGGGAGGGGAGGTGGCCAGTGGGGAGGCTCAGCCAAGTGTTGGGCCATGGAGTCCCTTGGACAGAACAGTAACCCCCAAGTCCAGACCATGGCACCCTCCCCAGCCACTGGTGAGGAGCTCAGGAACTCAGCTGCCCTGGGTGTAGACGAGGAGGTAATGCTGCAATCTGGCTGTGCGGCTGCAGGTCTGGTCCACCGTGGACCAGCAGAATCCTAGGAATGTCTGCAACACAGGTGGGGGGGCCTGCGGGGTAGGGGGACCCACATTTGTCCTACTTCCCTGGAGAAGGGGAGCAATGACAGGCATCATGAGAGCCACGATAAACAGAGTCTGGGAACTGCAGGGGAAATGAGGTAACACCTTCCATCACAGCCAGCCAGCAAAGAAGTGATGGAGGGGATGTAGGAATTTTTTTTTTGAAGATTTATTTATTTACGTATACAAGAGCTGGGGTACAGACCAGAGATGTGGGGGGTGAGAAGATTCACTAGAGTGGGGAACAGAACAGGCAGACTGACGAAATACACTGCTGAGGGGAGCAGCGGGCGAGGCAGGAGAGGTCTGCCTCACCATGTGGGTAGCTCCCTGGCCGGGGATCGAACTCGTGCTGCAGAGGCTGCGGATAGCTTCATAGTGCAGTATTTAACCCCTTGCGCCACCAGGGAGGTCCTGGGATGTAGGAATTAAGAGAGGCTTGAGATGTGTCAGCCAAGTAAAAATTCTAAACCTTATCTGGGTTCTGATTTGAAAGAATACATGAACCCAAATCAACGAGAATGTGTATTACCACTTCCATTTAAGACAAGAAACCAGGGGCCTCCCTGGTGGCGCAAGGGGTGAAGATGCAACCTATGAAGCTGTCTGCTGCCACTACACCGTGAGTTCGATCCCCTGGACCACCAGGGAACAACCCACATGGAGAGGCAGAACTCTCCTGTCTCGTCCGCTACTCCCCTCAGCAGTGTATTTCAGTGGATCTGCCTGTTCTGCTCCCCACTCTGTCTCTGATGAATCCTCTCACCCCCCCATACCTCTGGCCTGTACCCCAGCACTTGTATGCCTTAATAAATCTTAAAAAAAAAAAAGTCAAAAAACCAATACCGTTCAGATGCCAAAGGGCAAGTGACAATGACAGCTGATGTCTGTCTGTAACCTCAGAAGCGCACTGACCAGTGATGGTGGCATTTCCCCAGTTTCCTAATCATCTAACCCCACAAAGGACACTGAACACCCACCACCATCGAAAGAATCACATCCGTCCAAAGGCTCAAGCAGGGCTTCCCTGGTGGCGCAGGGGTTAAAGACAGCGCCATCAAGCTATTGCCAGCCACTGCAGCACAAGTTTGATCCCCGGCCAGGGAGCTACCCACATGGTGCAGTAGACCTCTCCTGTCTCTTGCTCTCTGCTCCTCTCAGCAGTGTATTTCAGTAGATCCGCCTGTTCTGCTCCCCACTCTGTGTCTGGGGATCTCAACCCCTGCACCTCCCGCCTACACCCCAGTTCTTGTATGCATAAGTAAATCTTTAAAAATGAAAAAAATAAAGGCTTGAGCAGCACCACCTGGCTGGGCCCCACCAGGCTCATCAACGTACTTGGCCGCCCTGACGTCCACTGTGCCTTTGAGCTTCTCCTCGCTGTCATTTTCGAAGTACATGAGCTTGGACTGGCGGAGGACAAACCAGCGCTTCTTCCAGTTTCTCCTGGACAGAGTGGACGAGCCACCGCCCTTCTTGTGGAGCCAGCCTTGCTTGAGGGCCTCCTGCTTGGAGCGGAACCACAGGAAAGTCTCGTCCTTCAGGACACACCAGCGGCGCTTCCAGGAGTTCATCAGGCCGCCTGGAACCCCGAGATTGGGGGAGGGGAGCGGGGACAAGAAAAGTCAGAATGTCTCAAAGCTCAACCTGTTTAACCTTGGCCCCAGTAACCAGCCCTCCAGCAGCCCTGGGTGAAGGATGGCCATGCAGGCGTGTTTTGTGTGTGTTGTGTGCGCACACATGTACATGCACACGACAGGCAGCCGTGACAGATACTTGGCCGGATCACACGACAATGTTTCTCCTTCCATACATCCAAAGCAGCAACTACTTAGCTGAGAAATCTTGGTGCGGAGCTCACAGAAAGAAGAATGCACTGATTCCCAGAAAGACAAGGATGTGCTGACTCCCGGGGAGGAGTCGAGGGCTGAGAGGAGGTAACAGCAAGTCTGGATAATGCTTTTTTCCAAATAGTCTAAGGAGGGGAAATCAGCGAAAAATGGTGCCAAAATTCCTTACTGGTCAATGTGGGGAATCCACACGGATTCCACAGTTTAGTATAGGAAAAGGAGGTGAACTTTTTAATGTAAATACATTTTTTCAAAGGAAAATATCATCTGAAAAGGGCCTCGACAGAGAGAGACTTAGAAAATAAAAGACTTTAAACTGAATTGTGATTAGACCTAAAGAAAATGAGAATTTGGCTGAGTTATCTAGTGGAAAACTCTGGTTGAGAGAAATGAGATGAGGGTATACAGGTGTCATCTTTTATGAGATGACAATGAATCCTAACACTCTTCTGGCAGGATAATTTTATCTTGGTATTCCAGATTCTCCAAGGGGAGCTGCCCACCACCACTCAGAATATGTTTAAATGTCATTCAGACAATTTTCTTCAACATTCATTATAAAATGTTAGCGAGTAATAAATGTAAGTGAGATTTAAATATGCACATTTACGGTAAGTATAAGAAGGAGACTTTTCTTTCTGATTAGAAATAGACTCCAGGGCCTCGCTGGTGGCACAAGGGGTTAAGCACCGCACTATGAAGCTATCTGCAGCCTCTGCAGCACAAGTTCAATTCTCGGCCAGCCGGGGAGCAACCCACACAGTGCGGCAGACCTCTCCTGACTCGCCCGCTGCTCCCCTCAGCAGTGTATTTCAGTCAGTCTGCTTGTTCTGTTCCCCACTCTGTCTCTGGCGAATCCTCTCAACCCCTGCATTCTGGCCTGTACCCCAGCTCTTGTATGCATAAATAATAAATAAATCTTTAAAAAAAAAGAAATAGACTCCAAACAGACCCCATTCCAGAGGAACTTCTTCAATGGCTACACATCTAAACTGGACATCGTAGGAGCGAGGGGGGTAATGACAGGGCCAGCTTGTGTCTGGCTTTGCAAAGTGCACCTGCTTGGTTGAACTCTGGAGGAGATGGCTGTCCTTTTCCAGCATCAACATGCTTACCTGGCTGACAAGTGTCTGATCATGCCAAGCTCCAGAGCCACTTCCTAAGGAACAGCAAACTTGCAGGAACTACCAGGGTGAACTTTTTCTTTTTCCTTTGTGATTTTCATCTGGGTTTCTCAAAACCAGCCCAGAGGAAATGGTGGTATATAGTCATTTGTTATCTTTACATGATAACAGTTATCTGGCGTGTTTCAAAGACAGATCAGAACTATGCGGGGCACAGCCCCGGAGAATTTCCTCCAAGGCTCTACCATGGGGAAGGGACTCACCCCAGGCTTCCTCTCCCATTGTGGGTTCCCCTGACACCTCATCAATTTGATCAGTGTACATCATTTCCTAATTGCAAACACCTGATTAGCAGGCTATTAAGCTGCTGAAAACTCATTTATCCTCATCAAATGTCATCTGATGCTGTGGGGTTTATCATTGGCGTCTCTGAAATTTTTGTCACAACTTTAAGATTGTATTAAAGATTAAATGATGTAGCCAAGATTCTATGATGCATTTGCACAATGTTTGATTTAGAGCTGAACTGGCCAAAAGTTCACCTTTGTGAGCTTGATTTTAATGCTCTGAATGTATCTTTACTTTTTCCTAATCCTATTTCTTTTAATCAGACAACTACAAAAAAAATCAGTGCCACATATTGTAAATAATATTGTAAATAATATTCTAAATGACAGGGAATTTGAAAGTGTAGAGAACTACAAGTAATTAGAGTGAGGGAAACAGCAAATAAAAACAATTTATATTATTGTTTATATATTAATATAAATATATTAATAATACACTATTAAAATAAAGGATATTTTATTCTATCTGCAAAATGCCTGAGATAATCCTAAAATGCAATGATGAGGGGCCTCCCTGGTGGTGCAACAGTTGAACGCTGGGCTGTGATGCTGCCCGCAGCCTCTGTAGCGCCGGTTCCATCCCTGGCCACGGGCGAGGGTCCCACGTGGTGTGCAGACCTCTCCTGCCAGGCCTGCTGCTCCCCTTAGCAGTGTATTTCGTCAGTCTGCCTGTTCTGCTCCCTGCTCTGCCTCTGGTGAATTCTCTCACCCTTCCGTGCTTCTGACTGTACCCAGTGCTTGTATAAATAAATAAATTAAAAAAAAATGCAATGATGAGACACTTATGGGATACTAAGTTCTGAATTTGTGATCACAGTATTTTCCTTCTCAGTGTGTGCTGATGCTGGCTAGGTCCTTTGTTGTGCATTTCTCAATCTTGATACTAATGTTCCTCTGAACATCTACACTAACCACTGACTCAGGCAATAGGCAGATCTCCTCTACTGAAAACTGGATGCATTTAGGGGCTCTCAGGCTGAGAATGAAAGAAGTTTGAAAAGTAAGTGATGGTGAAGGAGGGGAGAAGCAGCAAAAAATTAGATTAGAAGAAAACTGAGTGAAGAACAGCAAAAAAATAGCACAATTTCCATAAAAAAAGGGATGAAAGAAGATGCTGGTGGAACAGAAAGTGAAGAAGAGGGTCAGGGAACACTTTCCCACGGGTTTAAGGGGTATGGGGGTGACAGCACCAAGATCGGGGCTCTCTCCAGGGGGAAAATCTAACTGGGTCCAAGCAAGAAGCAACAGGACCCCCCTTTTGAAGGTCCATGCAAGACTCCTACCCCAAACTGCTGATTCTGGTTTCTTGTTATCACTGCCACTGATGTACAAATCAGAGAGGAGACCATGGAAGAATGCATGAATGACGACAAAGTCTCAATTAAGTGGTTTTCTAAAAGAAGCAGGCGTCATGGTCTTCCTTACTGAGCTCCAGCACAGTGTGTTCAGCCATCAAAACACAAACTGAGGGCCTCCCCGTTGGCGCAGCAGTTGAGCGCTAGGTTGCGAGGCTGCCCGCGGCCTCTGCAGCGCCAGTTCGATCCCCAGCTGCTCCCCGGCCACCGGGGAGGGTCCCGCATGGCGCGCAGCCCTCTCCTGCCGCCCGCTGCTCCCCTCAGCAGTGTACTTCGGTCCTTCTGCCTGCTCTGCTCCCCGCTCTGGCTCTGGTGAATTCTCTCACCCTCCCGCGCTTCTGACTGTACCCAGTGCTTGTATAAATAAATTAATAAATCTTTAAAAAAAAAAAAAAACAAAAACCACAAAACGAGTGCGGACAGAAAGGAGGGACTGGAAATGGTTTAAGCAACACGCGGCCTTCTCTCGATCTTTTCTTGCCGTCTATAGAACATCCTCCTGGCTCACTAAGGCTCTAGGGAGGTACATCTAGGGATGTAATGGGCTGCACCAGCAGCACACGAGTTTGGGAGAAAGACACAAAAAGGGGTGGCATGGTAACTGAGGGTGGCACACTCCGGGCCCCAATGCCAGCAGTCAAGGCCACATTTCCCTGGTGAGACAGCGTCCTCCGCTGACCCCGAGGACCCAGCACCACCCGAGGCTGTTGCCATCAGCCCGTTTGTTTCCTCATCGCTCTAGCCCAGCCCGTACCTTTCATGTACAGGAAGCTGTGGAAGTAGGGGAGCGTGACACAGCTGTACACGGAGTCCCGCCGGTAAGACAGCTCGTCGTCGGTGTCGAATCTGGAGTCAAAGTCCTCCTCGCTGTCTTCAAACTGGAGGAGGAGAGCAGTGATGTGAGCAGAGACGGCAGAGCGGAAGCAACAAAAGTGCCCAGCACGCACGAGCAGAGTAAACAAGAGCAGCTCCATGACCAGGGAGGGCGTCATCTGAGACTCACACAACACTGCCTGCCTGTGCAGATCCCATGCAGCATGGAGTTGACACTAAAAATACTTTAATCCAAAAGTTATGCAACAACACTGTGTTGAAAAGTGAAGTTTTACTCAAACCAAGCAAGAGTTGAGCCCTTTTACCTTTTGTCAGCTAAAAGTATCTGCAAATCTAAACTCAGGGGACTGCTGAATGCACACCCAGTGGGGGAACCCAAACCAGGAATAAATCCAGGGGCTGGAAAGAGCAAGTGAGTCTGCAAAGAATCCTCCCTGGGAGCACAGCGAGACAGAGCATGCTGTGGAGGGGTGCGGTGCGGGTGTTGGGAGAGGGCTGCCATTGACCACTGGGGGAACTCCCACGTGCCCTGGGCACCTCCAGTTCCAGCTTGGGTGTGGTCATTTTCCAAACTGCTGCAAGACCAAGACAGCGGAAGCCTCCACTTCAAATGCATTCTTTTAGGGATGGGGCCAAATGCGGTTGGGGGCTATGCGGTCAACTTACAGGACGCACATCCAAGCGCCTTTCTCAATTCTGTTGCAGTTGGCAAAAATAAGGGGTTTAGGGCTTCCCTAGTGACGCAAGGGGTTAAGCACCCCACTATGAAGCAATCCCCAGTCTCTGCAGCATGAGTTCAATCTCTGGATGGCCAGGGAGCAACCCACATGGCGCAGCAGACCTCTCCTGTCTGTCCGCTGCTCCCCTCAGCAGTGTATTGAGTCAGTCTGCCTCTTCTGCTCCCCACTCTGTCTCTGGTGAATCCTCTCACCCCCCACACCTCTGGCCTGCACCCCAGCTCTTGTATGCATCAATAAATAAATCTTTCAAAAAAAAAGAATAGGGGGTTTAAGATGAATGAGCTTGAAGGGTCTGACCTTGAAATCTGGGCCTGTCCCTGGGGGCCATGCGCCCCTAGGGCCGCGCAGCAGGCACTCACCGAGGACTGCGCCCCCTCGGAGCTGAAGCGGTAGGCCCCGGAGCTGTTGTAGGTGCCCACCGAGCAGCGGTAGTCGGGGGACCACTGGCTGCCGTAGGAGTTGGAGAAGGTGACGCTGCTGCCGGAGGTGACAGCGCCGTCCTCGTAGTCGTCCTGGTCATAGTCGTACTCGCCCTCGGGGGAGGGCGGCCCCTCCGCGTTCTGGGGCGTGCAGTAGGTGGGGTCCCCCCCGGCGGGGCCGGGCTCTGCGGGCACCAGGAGCGCCGGGCCAGGGGTGCCAGGGCCGGCGGGCCCCAGCGCGTCGTTCATGTAGGGGTCCTCCTCCGATGACTCGTCGCTGGTGCGGATGCCGCTCGTGCGCTGGTCCGAGTGGCCGTGCTCGCTGGGGTTGGGCGAGTCCTTGAAGGCGTCGTCCTCGGCCTCGAAGCCCTCGTCCACCTCCTCCTCAGGGTAGGGCTGGCTGAAGTTGAAGCTGGGCTTCTCCCCTGCCACGGGCTCGCCCGCCTCGCTGCCCCCCGACAGCGAGCGCTCGATGTTGCGCACACACTCGTCGATCTCGTCGAAGTTGAGCGAGTCCAGGAACTCCTGGGCCGCCCGGCACGCCTCGTCCTCCAGGCGCTTGAGCTCCTCGTCCCGCAGCTGCTGCAGCTTCTGCAGGGACGCCTCGGTCAAGGCCAGCTCCTGCTGCTCCTTCATGCGCTGCAGGTCCTCGATTTCCTTCTCCAGGCGCAGGATTTCTTCCACCTGCTTGTTCTCCTTCTGCTTCTCCAGCTCCCGGGTCAGCTCCGCCTCCCGCTGGCTCTTCAGCAAGGCCTCCTGCTCCCGCTGCCTCCTGGCTGCTGCCTCCTGGACATAAGGAGAGCGTGAGATGGCCTGTCCACAAAGCTTCTCCGCACGCACCCCTGGTGATGGACAACTGAGAGGAGGTGGTCACAGCTCAGTTGTGCCCCTCACCCCTCCAACCCCACCCCAGTGGCTGTGTGGAAACCCCTAGACCCCAGGGCCTCAGAGTGTGGCTGTATTTGGAGAGAGGGCCTTCATTTTTCTAACTATCCTAGACTTGTATTGAATGCTTGCTTGATACATTTTATATGGAGAGGTGGCCACTAGTTGCTTTGGGTGCCCCTGGAAATCTCATGGCAGCCACAGGAAGACAAAGAGAAGCCAGTCTGGAGACCTCAGAAATGGAAATCACTAACCCGATTTTATGACTGTTCTTGAAAGATCTGTCTCTAGAGAAACGAAGCCACTCTGAGCCTCCCTGGTGGCTCAAGGGGTTAAAGAAACCACTTAAGTGCAGTGCTGTGAAGCTGTCCGAAGCCTCTGCAGCACGAGTTTGATCCCCGGCCAGGGAGCTACCCACATGGTGCAGCAGACCTCTCCTGACTCTCCTGCTGCTCCCCTCAGCAGTGTATTTCAGTTAGTCTGCCTGTTCTGTTCCCCACTCTGTCTCTGGTGAATCCTCTCACCCTCCTCACGCACACCTCTGGCCTGTACCCCAGTTCTTATACGCATAAATAAAAATAAATCTTTAAGAAAAAAAGAAACAAAGGCACTCCCTTTAAAAAAAGGCTCTACGTGCAGGAGCTTCTGCGTGAACACAGCTGACATTCAGGAGGGCATTTCATATTTTGGTCTTGGGAACACTTAAATACTCAGAAATAAAAAAAATTCAGATTTGATGCTTAGACACTGGAAAACACTCAGATCTGAGAGGTTTACAGCCAGGAAGGCTCGTTAGTATTCCTTAAACTGGATTGTTCCCCAAAAAGTTAGTCTTCAGTTTTGGCTTCCATTTCTTCTGTGTCATCATGGAGATGGAAGCTTTAAAGAAGGGATTAAGAATGAGCCCAAAACGTTGGGCCCTCATCTAATCTGACCGTGTCCCGGTAAGAGGACACCGGCCACACAGACACCGGGGATGCAGGTGGACAGTCGCCCAGCATGTGAGGACCCCGCCAGGCCATCGCTGGTGAACTAACACGGCGGCTACACTGGGTCAGAGAAACCACACTAAGTGTCTGGATTCACACTAAAATCTCAGAAACTCATTTTCACCCAGTGGAAATGGGTGTGTCATGAACATTTCCTCCAGAGTCCTTCTTCCTCTGTCTTGACACTTTCTCTTAGTTTTGAATCCTCGACCCGAAGTGCTGGAAGTGGAAGGGGCCCGGGAAGAGAACACCGCGCCACCAAGAGCTCTTCACCTGCTGGGCGAGGCGCTCGGCTTCTCTCCGTGCCCTTTCTCTTTCCCTAAAGACGGTAAAGAAAGTGAAAATAAGCAAAAGCAATGAACACTAAAAATGATCCCAGAAGCACTTTTCACAGACAGCTAATTCAAAAACCTTGCTGGCAAGACGCAGAGTCTGCACACAAGCAAAACTGCACCCAGAACTGGGTCTTTACTGCTGCCAGGGAGTTGCCAGCCCGCGAGTCACAGCTTCACACTGCAAGCTCCGCAGGGGGGGCGTGGCGCAAAGGTGTCCTTCCCCGTCAGGGGGCTCTTACCTTTCTTCTTCCTCCCGTTTTCGCTTTTCTTCCTCCTCGCGCTTCTCCGCCAGCAGCTGTCTGTAAGCTCTCCTCGCAATCTGACCTCGGAGCTGCTTCTGGAAAACGATGGCTGCCTTTTTCAGGTGCAGAAATCTCCTCCTCAGAAGGAACGCTCGGTAGTTCTTCTGTATGATCAGCACGCAGTCCAGGACCTTACAGTACTGCTTTCTGAAAACGCGAACAAAAGCAGCGTCATGGAGGCACCGCGGCGCGGCCTCGGGCACCTCTGTGCGGTTATGTGAACGCTACGGACAAAAGAACCGGAGCCGGACTGGAAGGCCAGTCTCTATTACAGAGACCGGAGGGAGCCAAGGGGCCCCCGAGGCCAAACAAAACAGAAGACAAAAGGAAAATAACTCACAAGTCTAAAGCTAGAACGCTGTCATTAGCTTGGGTAAATAAACACAGAACCCCTGATGCGGACTGCGAATCGTCCGGCAGGAAGCTGGCTTGTAAACAGGACCCAGGAGATCTGGTAGCTCTCCTGGGCTTAGGAGAAGGGAAAAGCCTGGCTGTGGCAGGACAGCTTGGGGTTTCACGAGGCCGGTCCCCACAAGGGGCCGGCGGCTCAAGAGCAGGCGAACAGAAGCTGCCCCCTGAGCAAATAGCAGGAGAGCAGGTCCAGGAGGCAGCACTGGCGAACGAGGCAAGGCACTGAAATGTCTCAGCACTGTCCCCCACTGCCCTGGCTGCAACTGGGGTGGCAGAGCCCCCTCCCTACCCTTTCTGCCCAGGTCAAGCTAACCAGGCATCTGACACTTGGCTCATGAGGAGCACTGAGTGGGACTCCCCCTAGCCGGACCCCAACCTTCCTCCATCCAGGTCTCTTTCAAACCACCTGGGCTATGCAGCCTGGTGACACGGGGTGGACAAGGCCGCCCCCTCGGTGAGCTTCTTACCGTGCCAAGTAGCCCAGAATGTGGGCCCGGATCACCATGGCCGCACGAGTAACTGCCTCCTCCCGCTGCTTCTCCAGTTTCTGCTCCAAGGATTCTCGAAGGAAGACCTGCCGTGAGGGAGTGATATGTCAGGGCCAAAGTGCATGGCCTGGCGGAGGAAAGCATGGCTGAGTCAGGTACCCAGGGGGAGAGAACAAGGCCTTTCCCCCTGAGCAGCTCCACCTACACCCATGCTGCCCAGCACACGCTCCTCAAACTCCCTGTGGGAAGGGAAGCTGTGCTTCTTTTGGAAACTTTCCATTTGCCACAGATGAATATTTGCAAACTATAGCTAACAAAACATTACAGGAAAAAAAGAGATGTCTGCTTTCAAATTATTATTAGATTCAACAGGCCTAAGACCCCGCAATATTGCTATGTATGTTTGTAAACAGTGTTCCTAAAATAAGTGTATGTAACATGAGTGACTGAGCCCCTACATTAAAAAATAAAGGGAAGGAAAGGAAATCCAAGGAATTGGGGAAATGTTACTTCCCTGTCGCCTGGAATCCCTCTCTTCATGCCTGGAGCCAGTGTGATCTTGGCTACTTTTAATACATCAGGAAGAGCTGACATTAAGAATGTAACTCGGGGGCCTCCCTGGTGGCGCAGCGGTTGAGCGCTGGGTTGCGAAGCTGCCCGCAGCCTCTGCAGCGCCAGTTCGATCCCCGGCTGCTCCCCGGCCCCTGAGGAGGGTCCTGCATGGCGCGCAGACCTCTCCTGCCGCCCGCTGCTCCCCTCAGCAGTGTACTTCGGTCCTTCTGCCTGTTCTGCTCCCCGCTCTGGCTCTGGTGAATTCTCTCACCCTCCCGCGCTTCTGACTGTACCCAGTGCATGTATAAATAAATAAATAAATAAATAAATCTTAAAAAAAAAAAAAAAAAAGAATGTAACTCGGAAAACAGGAGTTTGAAATTAGAATTAAGTAAGCTGCCTCTCAGCTCAGCCATCACAAGAGCACGAAAATCGGGGCTCCCTGCATTACAGCTACTCGCTGACCTGCTTCCAGGATGGGTACCTTGGCCTCTGCTCCCCAAAAAGGAGTGTCTGATAATTGGCTCATTGTTGTAGGATTCCTCGTTGTCTAGAAGGAATCCCCCTGCCCCATGAAGGCAGCTTTGAATTTAGCAATTTCAGACTTAAGACATGCAAAAGAAGTTTTGAAATCTTCCCCTAAAAAACCAAGGATTTCTATGCTTTTCCACTGGCCCCAGGAAGGCTTTTGCTGCAGGGAGCTGGCCACGTTTTTAAAAGATTTATTTATTTATGCATACAAGAACTGGGGTACGGGCCAGATGTGCAGAGGGTGAGAGGATTCACCAGAGACAGAGTGGGGAGCAGAACAGGCAGACGGACTGAAATACACTGCTGAGGGGAGCAGCGGGGAGACAGGAGAGGTCTGCTGCGCCATGTGGGTTGCTCCCTGGCTGGCCGGGGGATCGAACTCGTGCTGCAGAGGCTGCGGATTGCTTCATAGTGCAGTGCTTAACCCCTTGCGCCACCAGGGAGGCCCTCTCTCAGGGCTTTTGATGTGTGCCCTGTGAGTCCAGGGATGATATATTATGTTCTCTCAATGGCACAATTCCCCAGATTCTCTGCTATGTCTCCTCTGAGACGTCAGAGAAAAGCAAGGTCTACGTGCATGTGGCTCACAGCAGCCTTGCCAGCTGCTGCTGGGACTCCTCGGCGTTTGCAAAACTCCACCACAAATCATCCTCCCAGAAAAGTTTTTCCTATAATCCTATAATTGCAACCAATATGCTCTGCTGGTGCAGGTGGAGACGACATTCTTAGCAAAAAGGGAACAAATGAATGTAAAGGACAGAAATTTCCAGCATAAAGCTTGTTTGGGAATGACACGACATTTTCAGAAATAGAAACCAAAACCATGAATCAGAAACAATTTTCTTTAAGACTCGACTTTGAAGTATTTAAACCCCTCTTGAGGATTAGTTTGGTTTTAAGACTCTTATTCTAATGTTTTTGCTCTCCTGGGTGTTTGGAAGGAAAAGTCAGTCTCGGGAAAGCGCGCTGACATGAAGAGCAGTGTCCATTCTCACCACGATACACGCTCCTGGCCGAGCAGGAACTTGGACGAAGAAGTGTCCTGCCCCCATCAGAAGTCTCCAGGACCTCTTGTTTGGAATCAGAATCAGAAAAATACTTGCTTAGAGTTTTATGCCCGTTCCAAAGCCACCCTGTGATCTATTACATTTACTTCCCTGTGTTTATCTAGATCTTTCTGAAGGGAAAATCAATGAAGCCCAGATGCTCTGCGAACAAACTCACCTTCTTTTAGGACATCTGCCTAAGTATGTGGCCAACACATGGCCAACTGCCCTTGTCACATCCCCACGTCCCCAAGATGAGGCTGAGACCCTGCTGGCAGGACCTAGCTGTGGGTAAGCGGGGTTGCTGTCCTGGGCAGGCACGTCCAGGAGCTCAGGAATGGGACAGAGGAGCTGACCTTGGCTCAGTAGCCAATGAGACACTGGCTGGCGGGACATCTGTGCCCTGAGAGAACTCGGGAGCCAGTGGCGGAGTCAGGAGACCAAAGGGAAAGACAAGAGCTCAGGTCCCTGACCCTCAAGTCCTCAGTGGGGAAAGGATCAGCATCTCCCACCCGCACTGTGCCCGGAGATCCAGACAGGCCTGCTTCTCAGGAATGCTCCCCCAGCAGACGCAAACCCCCATCTTCCAAAGACTCAATGTGTTTTTTTGGACCAGCTAATTCAGGCCAGGTGCCATCTTTACTTTGCTGACGACACCACCACCCACATTTCATTTGAGCGTGACGGAAATTTCTTTACCAAAAGATCCAGATGTTCGTTAGCGGTTCCAGACCTTGCACACAAACACCTTCTGGCAGCAAACAACCAGAAACACACACGGGGGTGCAGTTAAATCAAATGCTGGTCGGTGGAGGTCAAAGCTGTTTGGTGGACACAGGTCAAAGGTGCCCACGTCAGCACCACGAACCGACAAGTCTACTTCACTTCCAGCGGCTCACCCATACACGTCTAACTTGGCTTTAAAGTTCTCTCTTGTACACATTTCCCTGACTCTCAGTCCTGGAGACACTGTCCTTATTCCTTAAAGAGATCGCACTGTATGATTCACTAGTTGTGTGGGGTATTTATCTCCCAGGACATGGTCAGCTAAAAAGCTGGTGTCTTTTTAAGTCTGTCTTCCCTTGGTTCCTATTTCCATAGGCAAGTTATGAGTGAAGATGGACTGGTTATGGTTCTTCAGAACTGAGGTAAGACTTCCCCACCCCACCAATGTAAGAATGTGGTGGGGGGTCACAGGCATCTGTGATGTCATGCCAGCCCCTACAGAGCCAGGCAGAGAGGCAGGAGGAAAACCTCCGATTATAAAAACTTTGCATTTTTCTGATTAAAAGCCAGAGCAGGGCTTCCCTGGTGGCACAAGGGGTTAAGTCTCAGTGCTATCAAGCCACTGCAGCATGAGTTCAATCCCCGGCCAGGGAGCTGACCTACATGGCGCAGCAGACCTCTCTTGGCTCGCCCACTGCTCTGCTCATCAGTGCATTTCAGTATCTATGCATCAAGAGCCCAGACATGGCTTAGCTGGGCCCTCTGCTCAGAGTCTCCCATGGCTGAAATCAGGGTGTCGGCCTAGGCTGCAGTCCCTCCTGAAACTTGGGGTCCTTGGGAAGAACAGGCAGATACTGTGAAGTACTCAGTATCAGTTATTATATCTGCTAAGTTTGTTCCTCAGCCATAGATAACAGGCCTGATACCTCCGCTGCCATCTCTGCCCTCCTAGACGCTCGCGTCTTAAGTCCCTGGCTGTTTAAAGTTCCTGATGAACAGAGGAGATGTCCATTATACACTGCCCCTCTCCCCGAGGAGTGGCTCTAAGGACACCTGAATACCTGTCACCCGCATAGAATGAATTTCTTATGCTCCCCCCAGCATAAGTCTCAAGTCTTATGCTGAAAGCTTACCCCGCAATGTGAGGGTATTGAGGTGGGGTGTCTAGGAGGTCATTAGGGTTTGATAAGACCATGAGAATAGGGCCCTGTGAAGGGGTTGGCACCCCTAGAAGAGAAGGAAAGACCAGAGTTTATTCTCTGCATGTGTGAGGACACAGCCAGAAGCCACCTGTCGACCAGGAAGAGGCTCTTCCCAGAACCTGACGCTGCTGGCACCTGGGTCTCAGACATCCGGCCTCCGGTGTTGTGAGAAATAAATGTCTGTTGTTCAAGCCCCTGTCTATGGTGTTATTTCATAGCAGTCTAAGCTAAGACTGTCAAATCGTAAGACGTGTCTCGTTTCCCCTCCTCCTTTTGTTTTTCTTTTAAAACCAAGAAACTCCTTAGTTGAAACATTTCAATAGATGCAATTTAAAAATATGTCTCTGATGAGGCTCTGGCACTTGAAGGCTGAGGTGACAATTTCATACTTTGAGGACATCCTTAGACTCAAACCACCCCACCTGCCTGCAATTCTTGCCCAGGGTCACATTTCTGTCTTTCCTGTGTGACAAGACACAGGAGTGGGTGGGAAACATGGAACGAGAGTGGAAAGCTGGGCGAGATTCTGGGCAGCTCCCTGGGACAGGGGGAGAGCTCACAAGACCATTCCACAGCTCGCTTTTGGGGTTCAGGCCAGACAGCCCCTCACTGTCTGGAACTAGGACCTCTGTTCACATCAGCACATTCAAAAGTAGATTTCACTCAGCTTTCTGGATTGGGTTTTGACACCGTGCAGGATTCGGACTGTGCTGGTGTCCACACCGTGGGCTGACCTGCAGCATCTCGGGGCTGGGATCTCACTTCCTGGGCACCGGAGGCTACCCAGGACCTCATAGCATGGAGTTGCTCATCAGACAGTGTTTGTTGACTGCCTGAGTGACCACACATAAAAGCGGGCTCCAGTGTCTCCATGTCTCCCAAGAAACCTGTGCCCTTTGAATAGTCAAGGATTTCAAAACCTTCAAAAGATGGCGCAAGAGATAACATGAGCATCTTTGCAAAGATAAGAAATGATCAACCTTATACCGGCCCTGACAAGGCTCAGGGGCCCGGTGGGCGGAGATCTCCTTCCTAGGTGCCCCAGCAGGGACCTCCCTCTGCCCTTTACCTTCGTCTTGCCCAGCTGCCACTCGCTGTTGGAGGCGTCATAGCGCTGCAGCAGGGCGGTGCACTTGCCCCTGATGTCCTCCGGCACGGCCACGTTCCTCATCAGCACCTTATACCTGCAACGGCAGATGCCAGGAGGGGTCACCTTTTGCTCTACAACCTGTTTTACCGATAAAGAAGATCTACTCAGCCATATCTTGCCTTTTGTAGAAATCCTGAAAGGGTCTTCGGACGGCGTAACCGGCTTTGCGGATCCTCACTGTCTCCAGCATCCCCGAGTACCGCAGCTGGTTCAGCACAACCGCCTGGTCAAACTGGTCTGGCATCTAGAACCAGTGGGAAGATCAGAAGATAAAGTTGGCAAGGCCACCTCCACGGTTGCTTCTCTCTCTCTTTCTCTTTCTCTCTCTGACACTGACACACACACACACACACACTCACACACACTCTCACACACACACACACAGAACCTACAACAGAAATGAACCCATCACCCCCTGCCAATCCTGCCCCCTCCAACCTGGATTTTTTGAGTCCCAGACATGGCACCCCCTCGTGCATATAGACATCCATGCTATTTTCTGACAATATCTCAAAAGACAACCATAATTCCTGAGCATTAACATCCATACCTAAGTGTCAGATGGTTTGATAAACATCATTCAACTTTTAATGCTGTTTTCCTAAGAATCAAGTGTCACACAAATATTGCATTATTTGCTTTTTAAATTTCAGTGCATTTTTGGCTTAAAAATAGTGACCCACTGAAGAATGCAGATGGGGAAGAACACAAGTAAGCACCAGAGGAGAAAAGACACAAGAAAAGTTTAAACTTTTGCAATTTCTGGACAAATACACCATTTATTGAGAGCTATTACACGATCACAAAATCCATTCATCTCAGAATACACAAATTAAAGACAGGGGAAATCACACCAAGACTGAGGGTTCTGAAACGTGTTCTCTGATCTGCTGGGTTGCCAGAAAGTGCCAGGCAGGACACTGGTATTCAGGGCACAGCCCTAAAGTAGGCCACTTCCCATTTATGGTTTATTGGGCAGTGATTTGTTTTTGAATCCAAGCACTCATTCCCTTGAACTAATTTGTGTTTTGTTATCCTGCACAAGAGTGAATAAAACCACTGAAAAATGTTGCATTCTTAAAAAATGCCCCCAAAATGGAAGTGGCAGAAATGCGTGGCCTTCAGGGTCACAGCCAGTCAGCTCCCCAAGCCGTGTTATCCACACACTAACCAAACCAAAAATACATTTAAAAATGCTCTGCAAATCTCCCTCCCAGCTTTAGACGGAACCACTGCCACACCACCAGATTAACTTCCCTTATATTGAATTACTTTTACAAACACTCTTGTCAAACGGTCTTGACTCAGCAGTATTCCACTGAGGATAGCTGATAAATCAGGGCAAACATCCCGGGGATTGTGCTTCTCTGGTTGTTAGTGTGGATGATTTCAGATGCCCTTACAAAAGTAAGAACATCAGAAATGAAACCAAAATTGCCCTCGATTCAGAACCAGAGAGAGAGGCAGTGTTCTGAAGGCATCTGGTCAAACTGCTTCTGTTCTATTTACTTAGGAATAAAACGCAAGCAGTCACCTACAAAGACGAGCACCGAGCTAACCTAAAACGCGAATAAAGCATCAGGCTTGGTCCACTTGGTTAAATCCACAATCGGAGAAAGGGTCTAATTTAGATGGAATCATTTAAAGCTCCAAGACGTGCTCAATTAAAAAAACAAAATCTCGACAGCTTTCACTTTTCCTGACCCCAAACTGTCTTTCCTTGCTTCCTTTTCTAACAAACTTCACGTAGTCCCAGAGTTTGGCCCTAGAGCTGTTAAAACACTCTAAAAAATATTCCTCCAGAGACACCCCACCCCCAAAGTTGAGCTAAACTCACCATCTTCCAGTCTCTGCAGGCACATTCCACCTTCTGTTTGGCTGAGGCCAAAATTCATATGGAAAACAACTGCTACACTGACCTTTTCGCCACAGCTAAAGACACTGAACAATAATGAACACCATTCCTGTGCTTTAAAAAGTGCTTGGTCGCCATGACAACCCCTTCCACTCACGGGCTAATTAGTGTGGTGTGGTTGTAGGGTTTCAAACAGCCCAGGGAGGGCGGGCGAGCAGGCGCCCCCAGGAGTGGCCACTCTGCCCCAGCTCGCATGGTGATTGTGTTTCTGCCCCTTCCCAGTAATTTAACCAGGGGGCCGGGTATCTATAGGCAGATTGTCGCCATGGGCAACGCACCCTGCGATCACGAAGGGGCTAAGCCTGCGTTTCTATTGGTGGTGCTCTTTTTTTTTTTTTTTGCTGCCACTTCCTTTTCTGGTGAATTTAATGCTCAAAGATGACACAGCTGGAGGCTGGACAAATCACAACTTAAAGGCATTTTGTCTTTCAGACTTTGCTAAAGCACTCCTCCGGTCTTTTCTGATAGCTGGGCTGGCGGGGCTGGGGATCACGCCCACAAAGACTCTGCAGTTTAGAACAAGGAAATTTGGATGGTGACAAATGGGTTGGATTTTGGAAGCAACAGTCAGAAATTGGGGCCAATTACAGTCCCGGGAGACTGGTCTTCGTGCACCAACTGAACAGGACTCTGTTCAACACCTATTATGTGTGGGGTTTCTTGACTCATGCTCAGGAGGATTAAAAATTAAGGTGGGGGCTTTTGATTTCTCTCACCAACATCCCCTGCCAGAGAGGGTGTTTGTTCCAATGATAAAGCTAGATGGACTTATCACTGTTGCCCCAAGTCTGTAGTTTACATTAGGGTTCACATGGAGGTTGTGCATTCTGGGGTTTGACATGCACCAGAACGAGAACAGCACACAGATCCGCCCCACTGTCCTGAAAGTGCTCCCTGCTCCACTCACTCACCCATCCTGTCCCCAGCCCAACTGTCTTACTTTCTTTCAAAGGCAATTTTTATTTTTTTAAAGGCTTATTTATTTATTTATTTATTTATGCAAGAACTGGGGTATAGGCCAAAGGTGCGGGAGTGGGGTGTGTGAGAGAGGATTCACCAGAGACAGAGTGGGGAGCAGAACAGGCAGATCTACTGAAATTCACTGTTGAGGGGAGCAGTGGGGAGACAAGAGAGGTCGGCTGCGCCATGTGGTCAGCTCCCTGGCTGGGGAGCAAACTCTTGCTGCAGTGGCTGTGGATAGCTTCATAGCGCTGAGAGTTAACCTTGCACCACCAAGAAGGCCCAGACTTGTAAACTTCCAATGAGTCAGGTGTATGGTGTGTCAATCATACCTCAATACAGCTGATGGGTTTTTGTTTGACTTTTTGGGTATTTTAAAAGCCACACTAATATGAAGGCAATTCAAATGGACTAGAAGGGGTGGATGCAAAAAAGGCTTGTCTCCTGCAGTCAGGATTAAATATATTCAGCTTTAGGTAACTGAATGATGTTACAAAATAATCAGAAAAACTTTCCTTCCCTACAATCTGAAAAAGAATTTCAGAACATCCAGGGAAAACAAACCAGAGCTCATTCACCTTCTGCTAAAACCAACTAGGGGCAAGCCCTATACCCTGCAGCTTAAAATCTAAATAAAGGGCAATAGAGGTGAGGACAATGGGGAGGAGCTTCACAAGCAAAAGACAGAAAGAAATGCATTTATGCGTAAATGAATCTGATTACCCCAGCATCACCCAGCCTTCTGTAATTTCATAAACATTGCACAAGGCAGTAAGTGTGGCTGTCAGCTTAGAAATTGTCATTGGTCTAGAGTAACAAGACAATCAATGTAGTGCTTTTTAGTATTTGAGAGATTTCAGATACCAACCCAAGAACCGTTTTTTAAAAAAAGATTTATTTATACAAGAACGGAGGTACGGGCCAGAGGCACGGGAAGGTGAGAGAATTCACCAGAGACAGAGCGGGGAGCAGAACAAACAGACAGACCGAAAACATTACTGAGGGGAGCAGCAGGCAAGACAGGACAGGTCTGCCGCACCATGTGGGTATCTCCCTGGTTGGCTGGGAACTGAACCCGTGCTGCAGAGGCTGTGGACAGCTTTACAGCACCGCGTTCAACCCGCTGTGCCACCGGGGAGGCCCCAACCCAAGAACCTTGAAAAGAGACCAGGGAGAGGGGCTGGGGTGGGAGGTGGCCCATGGGATCTGGCTGGAGTCAGCCAGGACTTTGGGGAGAAAGTATTATCTGTGTACTTTGAAGACAAAGGTAACCACATCTGTCAGAATGTCAGAGTCAAGTGATGAGGGGAGATCCAGCACTACTACTGAGCTGAAACTGTCTCACAATCTCACTGTATTGGGGGGCCCTGAAGAAAACATATACACAAATATTGGCCACTCATTGGGGTGAAGGGGGGGGGTAGGACAAACCAGAGAAGAAGGCAGAGCAGCAAATAACTGACCGTACCCGGCTGCCATCATCCATCATTACGTAAATCTCCGAAGGTGGATCTGTGAGATTTTTTTTTAAATTTATTTATTCAAGTACTGGGTACAGTCAGAAGTGCAGGAGGGTGAGAGAATTCGCCAGAGCAGGGAACAGAACAGGCAGACTGACGAAGTACACTGCTGAGGGGAGCAGCGGGCGGCAGGAGAGGTCTGTGCGCCATGTGGGATCCTCGCCGGTGGCCGTGGATCAAACTGGTGCTGCAGAGGCTGCGGGCAGCCTCACAGCCCAGCGCTCAACCACTGCACCACCAGGGGAGGCCCAGGATCTGCGAGATTTTTTAAAAAACTGTGGTTTGAGAGGGGGAAAAATGATTCTCCCTAGAAGACATGGCATTCATTAATGGACAGCCACATAACTCACTGTTACTTACAGATGCCTTATTTTGTGCCAGAGGAAAATAAACTGAAAATAAACACAGTGATCTAAAGAACAGAAAATGTATCGTATTTCCCTTTCACCATGGCCGACAGGAAGCTCAAATTTAATTCTCAATTGTGACTGTCATTAATGAGGCATTTTTCATTTTGCTTTCATTTGTGACTGACCCTTCACAGACATTAATCAACAGATGTCTCAGGTTCTTTACATAGCATGAAAAGCTTGTATTTTAAAATCTAGTATCGATAATTAAAAGAAAATACTATTATTCTCCCACAAAGATCTACTGTTGATAAAATTTCAAGTGCTTGTTTAGCAGCCTTGAGAATCGCATGTTCATACGTGTGAGGTACGGACAGAGACCAGGAGAGTACGGGCAGGTGGGTGATTACTGTCCCATCTTGTGGATGAGGAAATAGGGGGCAAATCAGGTTAAACGCCGGGTCTAGGCCAGTGTTAATGTTGCTTAAATCAAACAGTT